TCTCTCTCTCTCTCTCTCTCTCTCTCTCTCTCTCTCTCTCTCTCTCTCTCTCTCTCTCTCTCTCTCTCTCTCTCTCTCTCTCTCTCTTGCTTTCCCCAGGGAATTTTCCACTCCCACTTCTTGTTTTGACGGTTTCCATCAGCGCCCCTGTCTTCGTCAATCGCCTTTCTCATCACCGCGATCTGGATTGCTCTGAATGAATCCTTGTAGTGGTGATGAAGATACCTGTGGTACCTTTGCCATAACGTGGTGTATACGGTGTTGTTTGCAGCAGGCAGCATCGCGGCCTTGAACTTCGTCGTCGCCAATCTCGTCGTGCCTGGTTTCTTGATCGTGGTACCGTTCTTTCTTCTCCGCACTCATGGCTTGCGTTTGGATCGTTGTTCCAATCGTTCCTCTTCTTTTTCTTCTTTCTTTTCTATATTTTGTGCAATCAAATATGTCATTATATCCCATGAAAAAGGGGAGGCCGGGAATCCCTCCACAAGATGAAAAGACACTGGGACCATTAACCAGCTTAGCTGCAGTCCTTGGGAGGGAAAAAAACGTCCAGAACAAAAATGCCCAAGACTGGGCCGCTGTTCTGAAAATCCACAACTCTGGTAAACAAAACACTCCAACAGGGCCTCACTGGAGCTAACGCGTTAAGTGTCCCGCCTGAGCAAGCATCGAAAACAAAATGTTTGTGTATAAGCCCAGCAAACCAGAAAAACCAAAATAAAACATTCCAAGAGGATCTGTATTACTACCCAACTCTATATCTGATCTCTTAAAAAACGACAACAAACCGAAGATCAACCCTGCCCTGCGTTAACAACAATGTTCACAGGATCTGTACTACTAGTACCTAACTCTATATCTGATGTCTTACCTACGCCTCCTAGATTCGGTAGGCCGTTCCTTCCAAGGAACCCTTGAACAGGGAAGTCTTCATTCCCTCCTCTCGACTAACTCAATCCGCCTGCGCCTGTCTATTGAGACCTGCTGCAACCAAAAAAAAAAACGAGTGGGCAGCAGGTTGGTTGAGTGCTCCAAATCTTTTCCTTGTCCCATATTTTAATCTTATCATTTCTCTCTTCCGCCTCCATTCTGTCGCCAGATTTTCCATGATGTTCCCGCTCACCGCTTCCTGAGTCATTAACCTCTTTTTTTTTTATCACAGCGGCCTGTGTCATCTGCTTTCTCTGTGCCCTCATTGCTCTTTCCCTGCTTGTCATTATCACCCTTCTTCTCAAAGCAATCTTTTTCTCCTGCCCCTCCGGTGTTCTCGCTGTTCTCTTTACAACTTCAACAATCTTATGATCCATGCGGTTTGCATTGTCACTTTGATCAACGTCTTCCTCTTTCTCTTCTTACGCCCGACAGGCTCCTGGTCGCTATCAGATTCCTTGATGTCGTACTTACCACGTCACCGTACTGCTCTCCTGTTGACATGCGTTAGCAAAAATGCTCTGCCCCGCTGTGTATGGTGAGCAGGCACCTCATCAACAAACTGCACATGGCTCTACTAAGTGCGCACCTCCATTGTCTTCGGAGTCGTTGTTCGTCATCAGGTGCCGTGAGTACCTTCTTGACGACTGCCCTAAAGACATTGCCGAATCACGCACTCGGGGCGCATGTCAAACACCGCGCCCTCTTCTCTTCATCCCTCTTGTCTTCCTCTGCATGCTTATTCTGGTGAATGTAGAGCTTTCGAACGTCTTCCCATGTCTCCAGGCGGTGGTCCCTTTTATCTTCGATTTTCATGTCCCTATGATTGTGAAAAAGGCCCCGCCTGAAGCTGCGCTTGTCTCCCTGTTTCCTTCCAGCAAGCTTTCATTGCATGCATTCGTCTCCCTCACGCTATTCTCCCCGCTCAACGCTGTGCCTCCAGATGGCAGGTTTGACGATGCCACGTGGTCTAATTTCTGGTGCCACCACGTGACAAACCCATCATCCTCCGGATCTCTGCTTACGCCGTGCCAGCTGAGATTCGGAGGATCATGGGTTTGTCACGTGGCGCCAGACATTAGACCACGTGGCATCCTCCGGATCTCTGCTTACGCCGTGCCAGCAGGGACAGCGGCAGCGCTTCGGTCCACAGGCCCGCTGTTGCACCTTGGCACACCGCCCTCGCTCGCGGAGGCGCGCCCCCTTATGGTATTCGGGTAACGACATTTATGGTTTTTTTTATATCTATTCGATGCGATGGGAGAAGTGTTTTTAAAGGGTCAGAAAGGAGAGGGGAATGGAAGGGATCATTCTGGTTAGTATAGACTTTTTTTCCGCCGGATGTCTTTGAAACAGCTGACTTTCATGGGATGCCTTTTAGCTGTCCATCTACGAGTTTGGACTTGGGCAATTCCCTCTCGTCGAGAAGTGAGTGACCTTATTCGGCGCCTTGGGGGGGTAGAGGGCGGGGAATGGGATCGGGAGAGAGCGTGGGGCGAGAGATGGGCAAGAGGTGGGAAGAAGGGTGAAAGGGGAGCCGAGAAGGAGCGGGGATGGAAACATTCTGCAGCAGAGTATGCCGGTGAGGAGGGGAGAGGAGTGTTTTATCTGGTGAGGAGGTTGCTGCGATGGATCGTCTCATGAGGAGACAGTTGTTGAAAGAATACTTCGTTATACTGAGATTAAAGTCTTCTGCAGGTAACTGAGGTAGAGGGGGTGATGGGAGGGGCAGGGTAGGGGTGTATTGCGGCGGTTGTATTGTAGAGGAATTCTGCGAGATAGACAGCTTCAGCGGACTCAGATCAGCCTGAGAATAGGCTGAAAGGTCGTGGCTGTGAGTGGTGTGGACCGGCTAGGTCGTCTTGTAGTCGGAGACTCACAGAGAAAGTGGCGTTATCGTCTATGAATGTGTCCGACTCAGAATGGCGGGTGCCAAATTGCCAAATGAGATGAACACGGTCACACACAGACCCACATACACACACAAAGATATAGATAGGTAGGAGCGGGAGAGAGAGAGAGAGAGAGAGAGAGAGAGAGAGAGAGAGAGAGAGAGAGAGAGAGAGAGAGAGAGAGAGAGAGAGATGTGGTGGTAAAGAACCGTTGGTGCAGTGTCTCTTATTGTTTTCTGAGGGGCTGCACGCAGTTAGATTTCTATGGACTGTGTGGAAGACGAAATATTATCTAGAATGCGGACCTGTGTACACTTTCTATGTGCATTATTCATGTGGAAACGTCAAGATGTTGCTTCACCTGGAATGGAAGGACTTGGGATGTTTCTCTGTGCTTTACGCGAGATATTTTCTGGCAGGCGTTTTTCTTCACTACCACAATGGTTGTTTCCGTTTATGGGCCGAGCCGAACGGGTGATAAGTTTCGGCGTTACAGCAGTGTGACGTGGCACGCTGCTACATTGAAACCACACAGGACGTGGTTTCGTTTATCAGCGGCCTCCCGCTGTGTTCAAATGACACGGGAGCGAATAATTATCGCGCCGACTCCCATCAGATAGCAACAAAGAGGTGACTTCACAACTCTTGATTGGAAACCTACACCTTGTTTCTCCACGTATTGCTCTGCAAAGCCGAATGCAACTGGATTTGATGGGAATGACCCTGTGTAGCCCATTTCGCTAGAAGATATTCCGGAAAGGAACGGGGAGGGAAATGATGGGCTATTTGGGCAGTAACAAGCAGCTATGTCTGTGCCCTTTCTCGGCGCTTCTTGGGGATGAGTAGTAATGCATCCTCTCTTTTTTTTCAAGGATAACATCGACGAGGTGCCTATGATTGGAGGTGATAAGAGCACTGTCCAATAATAGGCAGGTGATAAGAGCACCCTCCAATAATAGGCAGGTGATAAGAACACTTTCCAATAATAGACGGGTGATTAGAGCACTCTCCAATAATAGGCTCCCTGTTATAGATGGTTCCGATCTATTATGGGTGGGCAGCTGTACCAGCTGGAAACCGGGTCCAGCGTCCCAATTACAGAAAACGGTGTAGATTATGGATTGTAGCTGACGAGCAGCATTGATTGTCCTCGAATGAGGGGATTAACTGCACTGCTCATCAGACTGCGTGCAGGGATAACCCTTCCATGAGAACCTCCCATCAATTCATCTAACCTCCTACGTAACCTACCGAGAGGGTGTCTCCAGACCTCTCCAATCCCAAGACTCCCAACTTACCCACCTATCCCATGCACACGTCAAATCACAATTGTTTCACATGCATCATCAAGGTGCCGACTGCCCCACCTGCCAAAATTCTTCAGAAAACGTTAAGGTGCGGACGGGCTAACCGTATTTTAACTTCCAGCAATTATGGACGTGCCATGTGCCATCAAGAGGATCTCCTCCGCAGGCAGCAGGATGATATCCCTCAACTTGCCCTGTGGTTAATGAGCAGAGCAGGGGAGGATATTTCATC